TTGAACTCAACCCTGCTCCAGACCAGGGTTGAGATTTTCAACCCAGGTTGACATTCTGGCCAGGGTTCAAAACAGTAGTACCTGAGCATGACAAGCTTGATTTGCATGAAACAAGTGTGAAATGATGTGGGGTTGAACACATGTTGAAATAAAAAACTCAACCCAGGGCGGCACTGGGTTCACCCAGGGTTGAGTTCAACCCAGGTTGAGAGGCTCTAGTGTGAAAAGGGCTGAAAAGTTGGTTCTAGTTGCCCCATCTCCCCTCCCTCTAAGAAAGTCTACCCCCCCCCCCTCCCCATGAATGGGGCAACTTAATAAATGATCACGTTGGGCTTACTGAGAAGTGACTGCTTGTAGTGAAGGCCATCCCACACGATTGCATCCTTTCCACACGACCGCCATACAGGACTGCTTTGGCTGATTCCCAATTTTCAGGGGTCAAATAACATCATTCAAAGTCTGTTGGTAACAAAATCAGAGTCTATAATACTCCGGCATGAAATAGTGCAAGGATGGGTGATCAAGTCAAATGGAACATTTGTCAGTGAAATAAATGTTTTCACTCTTTCTTTTGTTCAGTTTGAGGTCGATTATTAGCTTCATGAATGACTGCTGCATGGTATTTGGTATGGATTAGGGAATTTGGGTTGGGATAATCAGCCTGAAACATTACCCAAAAAACCCTGAAACTACCCTTAAAATTACCCCCTTTCAAAAATGTGGGTTTTTTTATGTTTCAGACCAAATCCAACATTTTTTAATTTGTCTCATAAAAAAAAAAAACAACTCTGAATTCAGGTTAACCTAAAAAGTGGCATCCTAGATTAATAGAGGGAAAATGGACTATTTTGGAATACACTGGAGATATATGGTCTCTTACGATCTAGATTTTTTAACGTAGTTGTGCCTCTAGCTCTAATTGCAATAAGCATTGGAGCTGAAGTTACTAACAGTGAAACGCCGCTATAACAAACATGGTGGAGTCAACAGACAGTATTCGTTATAGTGGTTGTTCGTTATAGCATGGTTATATTGATTTTGCATTAATATAATAAAATTTACTATTTTTGGAGCCCATGGGGATTATTTGTTATAGTCAAATAATGTTTGTTATAGTGGTGTTCGTTATACAATGCCACGTTCAAGGCTAATTCTATACATTTGTATATAGTGGCGTTTCACTGCATGAGATATGGATTAAAGAATCTTGGTTGGGATACTAGAGGGAAAATGGACAATTTTTGCAATACTGGGGGATACATGGTCCCAGATTTCGGGCCTCTTATGATCTAGTTTTTTTAAGGTAGTTCTGCCTCCAGCTCTAATTTAATGCGATAAATAAGCATTGGAGCTGGAGTTACTCAAGTTAACTCAAGCTATATGCATCCAAATTAAAAAAAAGATAGTGGATATTTTGTCGGAGGTAATGCCGGCGAACTAACGTTTACTAAAGGTTTGCCGGCGGCAATCATCTATCAACAGAGGGCGCAGTACTCTTTAGATAGGGCTGAATTATAAAATGTATTAAATTCCCACCAAAAGTTGTGTAGCACACTTGGTGTAGTGGTTAAGCAACGGCCCTTGTGAGAGGGATGACCCGGATTCGATCCCGATCCCTGCCACATTTCTCAGGTTTTTTTGGGGGGGGATGGCCCCAATTAAATAAGAATATCCTTCTTTTGTTATTTTAACATGTCTCAAACATTTTATTGCAGAGTATTACATTTTCTTTTTCAGATTTGTGGCTCTGGAGGATTTAATAAAGTCCGAAATTATAAAATGGTCTGATTCCTATCTTGTGAATACGAAGTTACAACGATAATATTGGTCTGATTCCTATCTTGTGAATACGAAGTTACAACGATAATATTGGCATGGATCCAGACTAAAATTTGTCACCGGAAAATGTTTAAGTACCAAAAAACAGTAGGCCTAACTGCACATGTTCAGTGCATATTCCGCAAACTAACGTTTGGCCGTCTACGGCAAAATATCCACTAGCTGCCATAAAAAAAATAATTTTCTAACAAACTTTTAGTCCAAGTAACTTGGACCCAACTTATCGCCTTTTTTAACATTCGGGCATGATCTACTGGGCGATAGTGGGGTCCAAGCTAATGGTTTATGCAGAGCAACACAATTCTGTCACTGACCCAAAAACCCAACATTGCCCAACAAAAACATCAGATTTCACCCTCAAAATGGTTACTAAATACACCACCTGAGGTACAAGTAGACATCGATAATTAAGATCAATTAAATAAAAGATACCTTTTTGGGACTTTGATCACAAGAACTCATATCAGGAGCTTGCGACACCATCACGGTGTCTTTGTCAACTGGTGTTGTTGAGGCCCTCACGTGACCCGTCACGTGACCAAGCTTGGTCGCCCGACAGGAGGCGGTCGTACACGTGGGCCAGCTCGTACCCTCCATCTCTGTTCATTTGGGGGTGGTGTCTGCGGATTTCCACGGCCTTGCGGATTTTGCATTTCCAGAGGTCGTCCTCCCTGGCGATGATCTTGACATTGTCCACGGAGATGCTATGTCCTGGGGTGGATATATGTTCACCAACAATTACTGCTGTCAGGGGGGGCTGACCTACTGTACTAGTGTGTTCTCTGTATCGGGTCTGCAGAGTGCGAGCTGTTTCCCCGATGTAGGGCCTATGTGTCTTCACAACCATGCATCACACGACATCTGGTATACGAGGCCACATTTCTTGAGGTCTTGGGTCTTATCTTTCAGGCTGATCAACTGGGAGCGAAGAGTGTTGAACGGTTTGTGTGCTACCGTGACACCATGTTCACGAAACACGTACACTCCAGCTGTTCAGACCCGTCACGTGAGCCTAGAGGGGTCACGTGAGGGCCTCAACAACACCAGTTGACAAAGACACCGTGATGGTGTCGCAAGCTCCTTCGGGATATGAGTTCTTGTGATCAAAGTCCCAAAAAGGTATTTTTTATTTAATTGATATAATAATGGGACAGGAAACGAACTTCCATGCTCGATAATTAAGATGTTTGTACTTAAGTTTACTTACGATCCAGATGAAAAGTGAAATTTTCTGTTCAATTCCGAGAGCTCCCCTCACAATCGTGAACACGTTAATTTTCCGATTCGTGTTAATGTTTAAACGACGCGATGTCGTCTTCATGCCCAGCGTACATTCGATGGTTCCTGTATCCTGAGTACGATTCCGTTACCGAGCGCGCGCCATGCATCGATTATGATGAGTAGAAAATTTCACAATCGATCTTGAGGGGAGCTCTCGGAATTGAATGGGAATTTTCACTTTTCACCCGGATTGTAAGTAAACTTCAGTACGAGTACAAGCATCTTAATTATCGATGTCTACTTGTACCTCAGGTGGCGTATCTAGTAATTTGGAGGCCTTTTTGAGGTAAAATCTCGTGTTTTTATTGGGCTATGTTGGGGTTTTTGGGTCAGTGACAGAATTGTGTTGCTGGGCATACAGCATTAGCTTGGACCCCACTAATATCACCAGACCATGTCCGAATGTTAAAAAGGCAATAAGTTGGGTCCAAGTTCTTTTAAGTACTGTGTAAGTAAAGATAATGATGGTTTATCAGAATTTATCAACCAAAGATTTTGAGGCATTGACTTTGGAGTTTTTATAGTTTTGTTTTATTCAAGCACGCCACATTTACTGAGCCGATTTTGTGCCCAATTTCCGGACGCCACCGTTTTCAAAGTTGTATTTCGGACATAATTTAAAGACACTGAAATTGTTCACAAAGGTTCAACAAAAAGCATAATTAAAGTAACTAATAGTACCAGCATTTTAATGATGAAGTTGTCGTCATCAAAGAAATTTGGCAACCCTGTATGAAGAAAATCGGGGAAACGTCGTTGTGCCTTAGGCCAACGTTAACTCCAGCATATACAGATAACACGTGCTGTCCGCCACTGGCATGTTTAACAAATGGTGGCGCTCTTCACAATTAAAGGAGTCAAGTCTATCCTCGTTCTCTTCTAGTCGAGCGGTACGCCCTCGCTGCTATAGTACTATTGGAAACAAATTGAAAGTAAAGTTCGCCCTGGGGACTATGGCCTGTGTCCTTCAGTACAATGGTAAAATCCTTATTAACGGTGGTTGTGAACTCTTTTGAAATAAGTTAACATTTTAGTGGGCAAAATTAAAAGTGTGCCCACGGAAAACGTCTTTTTTTCGCACCACTCTACTGCATGAATTGTTTTTAAATATAGTGTTTGATGTTCCCTTTCGCAATTTAATGTGGACTTCCTCATGATGACATCACGACCAAACATTGAGCCAAATTTGAGTTCATATTACACTGGCACTTTTGAAAATGTACCTCTTTAAGCCAGTGTGTTGTGTTTTCAACCAAATGAATTGACTTTAATTCGGATGAATTTTTCGCGCTGACACCGCTCTACTGCTCTGAGAGTATTAATTGTTCCCTGTTGAAATGTAATGCCCTTGTGACACAAGCCTATTGAAATTAGAGGGTAGCTGTCTAAAATGAATTAAATATGATTAAAATAAATTGTGTGGTCATGAGAAAGCGTTGAACAACACAAATTATATCTGACTGAAACAATATAGTGTTTAAACGAAAAAAAAAAATACAATCCGAATCAATTTTCATGGAAAATGGCAACATGATCCTCTTAAAAACTAAGAAAATTATGGCCGTTTTACTTATTGAAAGTCGTTTGTTTCACTAGTTTACAAGGGCATAACCCCATACATTTTACCCCCACCCTTTTGTTAACTTAAGATTTCTGTTGAAAAGGGACGCGCCTGACAAAATAGTCTAGCACAAAGACAAATTTATTTGCTTTACTTTAATCTTACTTTAATCCATCCCCCCACCGTTAATTGAGAAGGGCGCCCTCAGAATGTAAGATGTCTACGTCCAACTAGAACTAGAGAGGGCACCTGTCAAACTGGTCGATCGTAAACAAAAGTCATACATGTCATGAAAGTTGTGGACGAAACTCTTGAAGTTCAGCAAGAGAGGGAACGTTTTGAGAAAGAACGTTGCAACGTTGACGCACATTTTCTTCATATATCATGTCAATAAAGGTCAGTCATTGTAAAAATATGTAAAATATATGAATCTGGGACTGAGAATCATTTCCAATTTGGTTAAAACTTAAATTGAGAATCTTCTTGAGAATCTTCTTGAATTTCCGTAAACTTTGTACACAAACGCTGAATACTGCATTCTTTCCTTCCTTTTGTTTAGTATTTTGTGGAAAGAAGGGAATGTTTTTGATTTATGAGGGAAATTTCGGGGTAAAAGAGGAAGACAACCAGAAAACGGGTTCAAAAATACAAGATGTTAACTTTGAAAGCTCAATGAATGCTCGATGCTGATCATGCTGATTGGCTGATAAAAAAAATTAGATAGTGGATATTTTGCCGGAGGTAATGACGGCAAACTAACGTTTACTAAAGTTTTGCCGGCGGCAATCCATATCAACTGAGGGCGCTGTACTCTTTAAGATAGGGCTGAATTATAAGATATATTAAATTCCCACCAAAAGTTGTGTAGGCACGTTTGGTGTAATGGTTAAGCAAAGGCTCTAGTAAGCGGGATGACTCGGGTTCGATTCCGACCGCAGCACATTTTTAAGGTTTTTTTTCTCATCCCCAAATAAATAAGAATATTCTTCTTTAATTATTTTAACATGTCTCAAACATTTTTTGGCAGAGTATTACATTTTCTTTTTCAGATTTGTGGCTCTGGAGGATTTTTTTTAAAAGGGAAATGTACAAAAGTACATGTACAAAAAACCAGTAACTGCGCATGTTCAGTGCATTTCCGGCAAACTAACGTTTACTAAAGGTTTGCCGTCTCCGGCAAAATATACACTGCCAAAAAATTAATATTTTTTTAAATTTGTTACTTAGCCAAGCTGCATCAGGCTTTCATTCTGTCTGGCTTGCACGCGTGTTGTGAGAAGTACAACATGCACGTTGTCTCTGATTGCAAAAATAAAAGATAGGAAAGTCACATTTTCCTTTGAAAGTGTGTTTCAAAAATTACAACATACATGAGTTAGTATGAAGAAAAAAGACTGGCCTGCAAAAGTCACTTTGGTAGGCCTACTGAACAGTCATGTAAAAGTCATTTTTGAACGGAACTTGTAAAAAATAGAGGTGTCCTGAAGGTAACGATAACCCAAGTCTCAGTACACAATTTACATGTAAGCCCCATCGGTGTTACAACTGCGCGTGTGCACATCACATGACAACAATGGTCTGTGGATAAACAAAGCAGAAAGACTTCCATACCCCACCTGGATATCACTTGACGCCCTTTGCAAAAAAAACAAATCCTATGAGACTCGGGTATGAAAAATTGCAAATGTGGCCAATTTACTGGACTACCTCCGTAAATAAAGGCCACACTTGGAACATGTACCCCCAGTAAATGCTTCCATATTTCCCCGGCAAAATTGGACTTTTTAGGACATGACATTATCAGAAAAACTAGTGATATCCATACATATGTACAATATAATTCTTTCCTATGGCAAAAAAGAAGATGGAACTTTTGTTGGCACAAAAGATGCAGCATATAGACATCATGATCAATACAAAACATCTTAAACCATGGTGCACAAAGCAACATTTTGCATCTACTTCAAAACAAGAACACTTTCTTTGATTTTGTTGGTACCCCGCTATGATTTTGCATGCGTGTGGCGAACTGTCCATCCACAGACCCTAATCGTTGTCATGTGATGTGCGCACATGCAGTTGAACGAAGATCATTTACGATGCTGTAACGATAGCAATTGCTGCAACAGTAGCCCCAGCATTGTTTTTAACATTTAGACATGATCTGGCAATAGTACTTACATGGCATTTCAAATAATTAACAACCAACCATTTGCCAACAAAAACATCAGATTTCACCCTCAAAACGGCCACAGAATTACGACTTATGACACCTGAGATACAATTACAGATTTATGATTTGAAGATCAAGATATTAAGCTTTACTTACAATCTTGATGTAAAGTGAAATTTACTGTTTATCGGTGAGGGCTCTGTTGTGGATACCGTGCGGACGCCATTTTCAAAATTTTCCTCCTTTCACAAATTTCAGGAAACTATGGCGACAGGCGTCCAACATGACCTGATGAAGCAGGCACAGTGCTTTTGGTCAATGCTGGATGAGCTTGCAGAGACCGATGAAGATGCATACAGGAAGTTCATGGCCACAAACCTCCAAAGAGGACAGCAAGAATTGACACCGGCCAAGCCATGGATGTATGTCAAGACCCGTATCAAGGTAGGTTCAATTAGGCCCAAATATGTGTGTGTTTATGCCATAAACTTTCTGGTGTAAATCGAGGACACACGTGCAACATCATCGATGAATTGAGGACAGGAACCAAAATCAAGGACGACCTCAATTAGAAAACGTGTACAAAACCAGTGAGAGCTGTTCCAAAAAAGTTAGGGGAATAAACAAAGGAAAAGGGAAGAGGAACAATAGAAAATCCTTGATTTACACCATAAACACCAAAAAGTTTAGTGTTCTTTCAGGAAAATGAAAAAAAATCACCTGTATTTAATAATTGTTTTTGTTAAATTACTGAAAGACGCACACCTCTTTTGTGATCCATGGACAGAACTTTAAAACGGTGGTTGTGTTTAAAATTCTGTTTCTTGAAAAGTACATGAGTGATTTGAATGATTCTTCCACTAAAAGAAAGTTTATGAATTGGGCTGTCATATGCTAGATTTTGAAAGTGCTACATGCAAAACCTCACTAAAACAATAGTCCCGCCATTTGGGTTTCTTTTTATTTTACTCACCCTGTATGGAAAATCATTTGAACAATGATAAAATCATGGTACAAGTATAGCCCAGAAAACAAAAAGGGTGGGGGGGGGTGGAGAATGAGGTGTTTGTAAAGGGTTGCCTAACCTGGGGGACTTCCACAAGTTCAAAGAAACCTCCATTTACCTACATGTAGGTAAGAAAACCTTTGATGTTTGCATTTAATTACATGTATTATCAACAACCATAATCTCGTATATTTTGGGGATTCCTTTGAAGTTGTTCTAGTCTCCCATGTAAGACGAGGCTTCTCCTAATTTTTTGCCCAATTTACGGACACATCTTTTTTGTTCCCATTTTTGGGTGTTTTCTGAGATAAATATAATGATGTTATCATTGTTACTACACAGACCTTTGTCAGTGTACCAGAGTGATGAGAACTCTCAGGATGTCATGATCAAGTCTGAAAGTCATGATGATGCGTCAAGTTCAGTAAGAACTAGAACTTTAGAATTCAAGTTCATGAATGCTTGAATGATAATGATTCTACATGATCCTACATAGATGTTGGTTTCTTCTACATACATGGCATGGATAAGTTTCTTTCTGAAGGCCAGGCAAAGTAATGTATTGCTAGAAAATTGCCTTCACAATAATAAAAAAGCCATTTGCTCTCGGGGCCGAAAACCCCAGGCACTTTGCCCAGAACTGGTGACCTGCTAATCCACTGGGTGAAAACAACTCCACAGTAGCGACCACAAAAAAGAAAACAGGGCGTACATAGGGGGAAGATCTTAGTTTCCCTGAAGTTTTGTTCCCCTTTGTTCCTATTGAAATCTCAAAGTCCATAGTGTTTCCCTAATGGGGCAGATAGATTTCTACAGACTTCCTTCCTTATAGGGTCTATTGTTCTATTGTGTTTACTGCCCCATGTGCATGAACTTCAACACGCACACACACACACACACTTGTTAAGTCAAAATGGTGGTGTTTTTTGTTTTCATCCACCGTTAGGTATAGTCGTTACTCAGTGACTGGAAGTGATATCATGAAAAGATCACCTCGTTGATCACCTTCAGTCTATTGTACATGTACTTGTACTAATGGATTGCTTGCACCTGAAAATGCTGGTTTAGTCTTTGAAATCAAGATCGTGCCAGATATTGAAAAGCACAATTTTATAGCGGCCTTTTTTTTTAAATCCAAAATGGCCGCCATACATGGTTTGGCATGTTTGGGGAAAATGTAAACATGGCTAGGTACTGGTACATACAGGCCTACAACACAGTTTCCAAAAATGTGTACTTTTGCTAATCCCTGCAAAATGTGAAGGAAATTACATTTGGACCTTTTGCTTTGAATGCCGCTCATATTTCCGTGCAATGCAAAATAACACGTTGTCATGGTACATGTAGTAAGAATTGCAAAAGCCAAATGTTAGGCCAAAAAAAAAAGTCTCCGGTTTCTGGTATGGAGCTTGTCCAAAAAGTGGTGCGGCGACGCGTTTTTTTTTTTTTTTTTTTACCCGACTTTTTTGCTTCAAATTTGCTTCAAATGTCGGCTGATGACTGCAAATGGTGCCCGACTAAACTTAGTGCAAATATACGGGAGTCCAGAGAGGCCACATAAAGCTTATTCTCGATCATAACCCCATCTAAAAACACGTTGAAATTGTGCAGCAGCAGAATTCCAGTCAAACCAGTGAGTTTGGCGGTTTTGAGACATCATCTTTCATTGAAAAAAAAACTTTTTCATGTTGCCGACGCGCATGGCTACGGCGACGCGCGCGCATACCAGAAACCGGTGACTTTTTTTTTTTGGCCTTAACACTATCTGGCTATTGAAAATATATGTTGCAACTCCCGATAACCAAACTTGAAAGAAAGCACATGCATTCATTTTAAACTGTGGCTGCAAAAATAAAGACCAGACAGTTTGGTGTGGGATGTGGGCAACTGAAGTGGTCTTCATTACCTGTGATGGACAATGGACAAACACATATGGAGGGTTTGTTCTTATTCCTCCATGAATAGATGAACACTCACATGATGCTGGGAACATACATGTAAGTTGAGAATGCATGACCATGGAATGGCTACGATGACCCACTGAAAACAAGGCTTGGTCCACATTCTTGTGATGTCCCCTGTGGACTTATGGACTTGGCAAACAGTGAGTATACAAATAGGTCACATGTCACAGTGAATAATTTATAATTTTCCCCTATTAACCCACCTAAGGGGAAACAAATTTGCGGCTGTGCGCAATTTTCTCAAACGACATCTGCATAGGGTGTGTACTCTATGGCGTTTGGGGAAAAAAAAAAAAAAATTAGAAAAAATATAAAATTAGAAAACAAAAAATGAATTCGAACGTAATGAAATTCAGACTTTATTTGCCTTTAAAAAAAAACCTCCGAAGCCTCAGATTTAGAAAGAAAAAAAAAATGGGTACAAAATGGTGTCACGGACCCACAACGCAAGGAATCCGGCCACATGGTTCAAAATCACAACCCTACCACAAGAGCTATCGCACTGCTCGCAAATCTTCAAAAAAAAATAAACAAATACCTGCGTACGTATCATAAAAGTATCGTAGAGGGTGCTAAACAGCCATAGTGGATAAAGTTTAGGAAAAGAAATTTCACAGGCCGTGCAAGAATTCTGAGAGCTCTCTGGGTGAGCTTTGACTGTCAGGCTGTATACGTGGGGGAATTTTATGGTAGCAGAAAAACTGTGACTGATGCTATACACGATGGTATTTTGTCTTTAATTGGATTAGGAACTTATCCCATGGCTGCCCTGGAAATGTTTCACCCTATTTCTTTACGGAAACAACACAATAGACTGTTTAAGTTGTAGTTTTGAGGCTTCATGCCGTTTTGCATGCGCGCTTTTTGCAAGAGTGTCCAGGAATAATTTGAAGTGTCTTGTTTGTTTACTTTTGTCTGGCTGGGTCAAAGTATGATTTTTAGGGGTTTGTTTGTTATGTGTGTTTATTTTCGGTTTCAATAGTTTGTAAACACTGCCCTTTTCCATTCAAATGTTCCTTTTTCATCAGCGTTTAACCCCCCCCCCCCCAATACTTGTAAATGAGCCCATCTGTTTTGATCGAAGAAGTGCCCTTTTCTGCACAAGTGCCCTGTTTGTCAAAGAAGTCGTGCCCTGTGTATAATCTTTGGTTTTGAACAGCACCCCATCGTCAGATAGTACCAGCCCTCCCCCCCCCCTTATTTAATTTTACGGAGGCAAAAAAGAAAATGAAATGCACATTAATTATATAAATGAAGCGTGCTGTTGTTTTTACAATGCGATTCAAAATGTTCTGAATTGCAATGTGACGATATCTTAGGCTGTATCTTAATTGTTGTTCTGACTCTTTTTTTTTCTCATTCGGCGTCGGAACTTTGTCAAGTTAAATTTTCCTTTTCAAAGACTGCATGTAATGGTTTCTGGATTAAAACTCAAGTACTTTGTTTTGTAAGTACTATATCTCTGACGCAGGAATGTGGTGGTGGCGTGATGTAGCATTGCAGAATAGGAACCTTTGACCCTGTTAATCAAGCCTTTCATGTATACACCATCAACTTGAACCTAAAACAAAACCAAGTCACGTAATTGTTGACTGATGCAACATCCAGGGAGTGAGGGAATGCGCCGTCCAATCAGAGACCTGGGCCCCTGGGTATCACGCAACTGGCTGGTGATAACCATCATTATTCAACGATGACCTAAAAATATTCGTCATTTTTTCATTGGTGAATATAGAGTGCATATATGTAGACAAAGAGCTAATATAATATTCAAATTTTGATACCCAAAGCCGTCATATACATGTATAAGATTTTGCATGCGAGGGTTTCATCAGAATGACGATGTGGCATTCAGCCTTTGCACATGTTGCATGCCTTCATTTATGAAGTCTGCTCGCAATCATTGAGTTGTACTATAACATTGATTTGTACTGGGAGTTTTGCATACTTTAGAGTGTGGCCCTCCATTCTGCTCAAGAAGGTAAGAGTTGTAAATTGCTTTAATTATGCAAGTACATGAATGTCTATCAATACCCTGATTGCAAACTGTGAGGAAGACATTCCATATGGTACAAGTTCAAAATCATGTAACTGACAAACCACGGTACTTTTGAATTTCTGATCGAAGAAATGAACTATTGTGGTTCATTAGTTACACGATTCTGAACTTGTATTTGAAACGTCTTCTTCACAGTGTGGCATCAGGGTAACAGTAGACATTCACGTAGGCCCCCTACTCGTGTATTAAATAACCAGAGAGACTTTGGTGGTACCCTATTGTTCCCCCTCAACAGCAAAGCTGGAATCTGTACGGGCAGCAGGAATATAACCCTATGTTTTTTTTTCCCACTAGGATAGGCATGAGTAAACCTTGTGTGCATTCATAAAGGGAATAAATAGGTGCTTGGTCTGTTTTAAACAATATGGTCAAGACTGGTTTGGAGTATGGACAAAAATTGCAGTGTACAACAATACACTGTTTGGATATTACTACTGAACTATTGAAATACAATTACACCATTGTTCAATGTGCCTGGTTTTGGGCGGAGTGTCATTTTCCCCATAAGAGATGTCTCTCTGTATGTAACAAACTATGCAGTATTGAAACGATAACCAACCCCAACCCCCCCCCCCCCAACCCCTCACAAAAAAAATCATGCTTTACAAAAAAAAAATCTGTTACTTCTAGGGTGGAGGCAACCAGCCAATCTTATGGAAAATATTGTCAGAAATCAGTTGAAGCAATTTTCTGAGTGGGAAAAAATGGAGTAGCCCTCTAAAATCCTGCAATTGTTTTGTTTTTTTTGGATTATTTTGCTAACATCCCTACTTTATACTTCAATCTTTTTTTGAAATACAATTACAGTTTTTCTTTCGAAAAGCAAATGAATTTGGTGTCACTTTATCCAGATCTCTTTTGCAGGTTTCGATTTATATTGACAGACTAGTTCATTTCCGCAATAAAGTAATCGATGCCCCTACAATGTAGCTTACCAAAGTTGGGGAAAAGAAACATACATGGACTAACTATAGTTTAACACAGCATCAACTTCTTTGAGTGGAATGTTGTGATTTTGTCTGACTCCATGTTGTAATTTTACTTGTGAAAATAGTAAAAAAAAATTAAAAATGGATTTTGTTTTAACACCACACAAATTGTCCTCTATTCGTCCTAATTTTCCTGGTTCTCAAATACGTTTAATTTACTGGCTAGTTGTTAAGCTCAGAGAGACAATCTAAATTTGGCAAAAATAAACTTCAAGAAAGATCAACCAATGGTAGTTGTTTTAGGTTTAAGAGAATACATGAGAAAGTGTGGATTCGTAATTTAAGAATTCATGAGGCGCGAAGCGCCGAGTGATGTTTGTATAAAATTAAGAGTGTATTCTTCGACTTAAACCATTGCATCAACAGAAGTATTGGAAAGAATGTTGCAACCTGACGCCACTTTTTTCTTCATATACATGTATATCATCTCCATAAACATGATAAAGGTCATTCGTTTCAAAAATGATGATAAGACATGAATCTGGGACTGACAAATGTTTCCAATTTTGTTAGGAAATACTTGAAATGACTTTCCATAGACTTTGTACACAAGCGCAAAAGTGGCGTCAGGTTGCAACATTTTTTTCCTGGCGTGTTTAGCATGTGTATCGCCACACCCGTACAACCCGTACAAAGTCATTTTGTGTGTATAGGCTCCTTACGTCAAAGTGGACAATTCAGACGACGATTTCTTTCTGACTTAAAGTAAAATTTGCAGTGACAGCGGAGAATCTGACAGTGAAGATGCATTGGTAATTTTCGGAAAGCAAATTTTCACACAGACGGTCCTATTCATGCTCATTATGGAGAACAATTGTCCGATGTGTTCAAAGTGTGGATTCGTAATTCCGAATCCACACTTTACTAAAGATTCGTCGTTCCGAATCCACACTTTGTGACCAGTGTAAGAGATTCATAGATCCCAATCCACACTTTTAACAATAGTGTGACGTCATAGCAATGGTTTAAGCTATCATAACAACAGAACCCAGGATTGAATCCGTAGAGTTATACATGTACATGTGCATAGAAATAATTTGGGCCTATAAAATTTGGCATGATGTTGGCCTAATAATAGTTTAAGGTCATAAATAAAGAGTGTGTGTAGTGAGGGGGCAGGGCATCACTGCACAGTGCATTTGTCCTTTTTCTTTTAATTTGGTTCAAAGATTAAATCTTGAAGTACTTTGTTTATTTCTATAGTGTATTTATTCTGGGCATCTTTCGATTTTGAAGAAAAAAAACTGACACATTACACTGACACACAAAATGACATATAATGACACTCTACAAAGAATATACAATCAATGACCCAAATTGTCAGGGTGTGTGATTTCTGTGTGAAATCTGTGTGATTTCCTGTAGTTTCCTCAAAAATTTTGAGCTTGCGAGACTGAGAGGTACTAGTCACAGAGGCACGAGTCACAGAGGTACGAGTCACAGAGGCACGTTGCCAGTGGCTACGTGGGGGGGGGGGGGGGTAGATAAATGGTCATGGCTAGGCTCTGACTAATGGTCACATGCTTGCCTTACATGGACTAGTAACTTATCAAACAACTGCCCTGGAATTGGTTCATTTTATTTCTTAAAGAGAAGATAAAAAATGATATTTTTATCAACAGACCCTTTAAGTTGGCTTCCTGCAAGGAATTAAGTGTAACTACTCAGGCGCGTATCTAGGTTGGGGGGGGGGTAAAAAAAAAAACACCCCAGCTCTGTCCCCCCCCCCCCCCCCCCCAAAAAAAAATTATCATACAAATTCCAAAAATTAAAGTTCAACTTGTCGCTAAAATGGCAACTTAAACCCCCTCGGAGGGAGGGAGGGTTTATCTCTAAACCAGAACATGAACCTTGCAGAATAGGAACCTTTGACCCTGTTAATCAAGCCTTTCATGTATACACCATCAACTTGAACCTAAAACAAAACCAAGTCACGTAATTGTTGACTGACGCAACATCAAGGGAGTGAGGGAATGCGCCGTCCAATCAGAGACCTGGGCCCCTGGGTATCACGCAACTGGCTGGTGATAACCATCCTTATTCAACGATGACCTAAAAATATTTGTCATTTTTTC